TGTGTGTGTGAGCCTGTGTGTGTGTGTGTGCGCCTGCGTGTGTGTATGCCTGTGATGTGCGTGTGTGTGTCTGTGTTTTTCCTCAAGCACCAGCTCAAGCTGTTCTGCTTCCAGATGGGACACTTCGCCATAACAAGAATGGCAGAGTAAGAGAAACGAGACAGAGAGAGTTTGAGCTTGTAAATGTGTGGCTCTGGCTCTGTGTGTGTGGATTTTTTGTGAATGTGTGTGTGTGTGCCTGTGTGTGTGTGTGTGTGTATCTGTGCGAGCCTGTCAGCAGAAGAAACGCCTTCACCATGAAGCTAGCGTTTCAGTCCCCAAGTGGCTCAGCCGGCATTGTCTCCCCAGAGTGACACAGCTAAAGTGTAATGGGCCTGGTGATGGTGTGTTAAAGCTCGGTGTTAATTATAACACCAAGCTTCGTTAAACACAGTCACATTAACATCAGCATGAGCGGCGCTGTTGGGCGCTGTCCTCGGGAATAAAGGGAGACTGATTCAGCATACACATCCAGGATGAGGGTCATGCACTCCACTCTATTGATGAGATGAGCTTAATAAATTGAGGGTTTGTATTCTGTTTCGATCTCTGTCTATATACAGTAGGTGATTGTTTTCTGGTTGTGATTCTGCTGGCAGGCGTACAATCCCACAGCATATTTACTGTGATGATGTACGGTTTATTTCTGTGAGTAAGATGGGAATCGAGGGATTTGTGTGACTTCCTTTGTTTTACTTGTCTAACACTTATGAACAGAGAGGCAGGATTTGTAGAAAGTGATTGAAGTGCAACAACAAAAGTATTGATTGACTTGAAGTTTCTCCTTGGTGATCGTTTCAGTACTTTGTTGCATCAGTTTGACCTGATTCCAGAGTCAGTTTCACATGGTACGATGACCTGATGATCTTGAGTCAATGTGTATCGCGAGAGTCTTAATGAATGTGGGCCTTGTTTCCTGTTGTTGACGTATTCCACTGGCCCAGCCGTCACACAGAGCTGACCTGTTGCTCAGCCTAAAGCTGCTCTCAGTGACATAGAACTTCATTCTTGGTGAAAATATTGGTCGCACTCACTTTGAAAGTTGTACCATCATTTACTCATTTGATTTTACAGATTATTGTTGTTAAAATAATTAAAATGTGTAACTATAAATCAAAGTAGTTTGTCTTGCTGAATTAACTAGAATGTTTTCTATGTGAGAAACGAAGTATCAACTGAAAAATGGCTGCAGGTTGAATGTAAATAACAAAAAAAATGACGGACTAATGATCACATGAAGTGTAAAGCCTAGAGGTTTGTTAGTAGAATTTTGTCATATCTGTACCTTGAGCCGACAATCAGAGGGGCCAGTGGCCTTGCGTGTCATCAAAAGGTCTTGAAGGTTGTCTTTGCCTCCCCTCATCACCTCCCCCAAATCTGGTTTGGTTATTTCCATTCGTCTGCCCCTGGTTATCAACTAAACATCGAACAAAAAGTTCAGAAATTAGTGTTTGGTAGATTATTTCTCTGTTGTAACAATGCTTCTTGCCAATAAATGTTATACCGTTGGAAAGCCTGTTTATGTACCTTTCAAATGGTGCCCCATTTCTAAGGAACATGCATTTCTGGGATGAGCAGCACAGCTGAGTATATGGGTTGCGGCCATGAAAAATTTGCCAAATCTTCTCTGCCAATGCCAAACAGCTTATTTGTTTATTTGCTATTGACTCTTGTTTGGTGTTGTTTGATGGATTGGATGATTGACGTCTATCAGTAACAAGGAAGAAACAAGACATATTGGCAATTTTACAATTTATTCATTTAACAAACAGTCAGGAGCCTCAGTAGCGTGTGGAAGAACCATACACAGCCACAACAGCCTAGCACCTCCTCCTCATGCTGGTCACCAGCCTGCTCACACACTGCTGTGGGATGGCATTACACTCCTCAAGCAGGATTTGTCAGCCAACGTGGTTGTGTTGGTCACTCTAGCACGAACAGTATGCCCAAGCTGATCCCACAAGTGTTCAATTGGGTTGAGGTCAGGACCATTCCCTCTACTCCTAAATTCTGGAGGTAGTCTCTGATAAACCGCTCTGTGGGGGCGAGCGTTGTCATCTTGGAGGATGGAGTTTGGTCCCAGACTGTGGAGAAATGGGGATTGCCACTGGTTGCAGAATCTCATCTCGATATCTCTCTGCATTGAGATTGCCTCCAATGAAGACAAACCTCGTTTTTCCAGTGATGGAGATGCCGCCCCACACCATCACACTGCCTCCACCAAAAGGTGTTACTCTATCGGTGCAGCAATCAGCATAGCTTTCTCCCCGTCTTCTTCACACTTTGACCCTACGATCCAACTTCCTTAGGCAGAATCTGGACTCATCGCTGAACATAACGTTCCTCCACATGTTCAGGTTCCAGTGCAGGTGTTGCCGACACCAGCGCAAACGGGCCTGACGGTCAATAGCAACAGCAGAATAAGCTGTTTGGCATTGGCAGAGAAGATTTGCCAAATTTTTCATGTGCTGCTCATCCCAAAAATGCATGATCCTTACAAATGGGGCACCGTTTAAAAGGTAAATAAAGAGGCTTTCCAACGGTATAAAATGTATTGCCAAGAAGCATTGTTACAACAAAGAAATAATCTACCAAACACTAATTTCCGAACTTTTTGTTCGATGTTTATGTGATACAGGGGAGATAAATTAGACCTATTGTTGGCGTGGTGAAGCAGAACCTCGCGCTTGCTCGTACTGCGGTTGCTCGCCTCTGATCTCTCTTTATCACTTCTACAGCCAGGCTGTGCGATAACAACCACATAAAGCATCTGATAAATAGCAGCCAAGGTGAATATTGGAGGAGGACATTATGTGCACATGTGCGCGCAGCTTTCTCATAGACAAATACCTCATATACGGCCTCACAAACCCAGCACAATGCCTCCCATCAGCGTAATATCTGCATGATTGGATGTGAGAAGTTATTTGTTTCCTTTCCAGATAATGAACTTTGTAAAGAAGCCGCTGCATGCATAGAACTACTTTCCTCAGTTGAGTGCCGTTCCAAGCACTTAGCTGCTGCTCAAATCATGTTTGCTTTGAACACAGCTCAGTGTCAAGGCATGGTTTTTGGTGCAGCAGAAGGGAGGAGACTTTTGTTAGTGCAAATGAGTTTGATCCTTTGAGTTCTGTTTCTGTATAGTCATGTCTCCAGCTTGTACTTTGCTGGTCTCAGGGATTATGGGAAGTTGTGTAGTTCTCGATGCATCTGAATTCACCCTACCAAGTGAGGAAAGTGTCACAGCACAATAAAGTTATTAGAAATAGGCTGTGAATGGCAGAGCTAACTCAATATACCATAATATGGGTAATTGCATAGTCGATAAGAGGACAAAGCCACACTTCAGCGTCATGTTTTGACAAAAGTTGTGAATTTATTTGTCTGGAGTTAACCGATTACCGTCATATACTTGTTTTTAGTGAAGCTGCAGCGTTTAATCGATTAGTCAATCAACAGAAAATTGATTGGCAAATATTTTGATAATTGACTAATCATTGCAGGTGTTTTCAAGCAGCAGTGCCAAATATTTTCTTGTTTTAGCTTCTGAAATGTTAGGATCTGATGCTTTTCTTTATCATATTTAAAATCTCAAGCTTTTGGACCATTGGTTAGACAATAGAAACAAATTGACGACATCACCTTGTGAACTCGTAAATGCAAAACAAAATTCAGCATTTTAATCTTCAGGGACATCAAATTTTTTTTTCTGTATTGACAAAGAACCAGCCAGGCCAAAAATATTGGGATGTTGAACAAAAATGAAATGCAGACTGTGACTGTGTTTAAAGGTGCTTGATTTTCGGTGTTGGAAAACCAGGAAGCTGAATGAACGGTAACTGGATAAACCTACTGATAAGCAGCCACTGTGCACACTCATATCATTTCACTTCCTTACTTTGAAATTGTGTCTTTAGACTATCTCAAAAATGTTAGTTTCCTTTGTATCTGCTGCCCTTTTCTTGATAGTTTTTCACCTCTGCGTTACAAGGTTTTTCATAGTCCTGTACACGATGACCTAAGCGTCAGAGCTCACTCCCAGAAGTTTAATCCTTGTCCTGGAGGTGAACTTTTTGATTAGTCATAACCAGTAAAACCCAGTCATCCTAAATGACTGGCGCAGAGGGAGACGATGGCAGTCTTTCAGGAACAAACCTCAACTAATGAAATTGTTCCTGTCAGCTATCGGGGGTCGTCCAGTTTAATACTGTAGTTTCACGGTGCCTGCTTTGTTTCTTTAAAAGGATGGGGAGCCACTGCAAGCTGTGCTACTATACAACTGAATCAGTGAGTGTGGGGGTTATTGGTGATTTCTCATGTCAGTGGTTTTAAGGCCACCCAGGGGAGACAGCTTGATATGTAGGCTACAAGGTGCTGAGAGTTGGAGGGCTTGGAGAAAGACGCGGAGGATCTGAAATCAATCTTTGTGTATAGCTCAGGCCCCGTTTTCACTGCCCCACTTGAAATTGTTTTTGGGATGATGGTTTAAAGGTTTAAATGTCCTCGGAGTGTTTATTGCTTGATAAGTCAAGCTGATCTTACCAAGGAAGCCATGAAAAATAGACAAAGGGAGATGGCAATGAAACGTACGAGAAAGAATGAAAAGTTCAAAAATGTAAGGTTAAGAGTCCATCTCTGCTAAGAATCTGTCTCTCTCTTTCTCTAGCGTTCTCTTCGCTCCATTTCTTTGTTCTTCTTCCCTACTATTCAGTTAACCTGTATCCTCCCTGGTCGTGAAGTCGTTCCTCTTCTTCTGATACAGCTCTGCATGACCGATTCAGCTAAAATCAGAAATGGTTGAATGGGCAAATTGATGATTTACCTACACTTTCCTCTGTTGCATTCAATAAAAGATAGCCAGGGAACGAAAGTGCAGTAAAGTTGAAGCTCCTACTGTAATTAGGGGCCTACGTAATGTGTAGCAGTGAATTCTCATGCATATATCTTTCTTCTTCATGCAGGTGATCTGCCAGCTTCCGTGGGTTTTGATGTCACCTCTAGATTGGTTCAACTGAAGATGGAAACACTGGAGTCTGAGCTGACCTGCCCGATCTGCCTGGAGTTGTTTGAAGATCCCCTGCTCTTGCCCTGCGCCCACAGCCTGTGCTTTAACTGTGCCCACCGCATCCTGGTGTCTCACTGCTCCACCAGCAAGCCCCTCGAGTCCATATCGGCCTTTCAGTGCCCCACTTGTCGTTACGTCATCACGCTGAATCACCGCGGCCTGGAGGGCCTTAAGCGCAATGTGACGCTGCAGAACATCATTGACCGCTTTCAAAAGGCCTCCCTTAGCGGCCCCAATTCCCCCACTGAGAGCCGGCGCCTGCAGCCGCAGCGGCCCTACACCGCCACCATTAGCGGTCCAATAGCTGGGACGATTGGCGGCGGCGGTGGTGGTGGCACAAGTGGAAGCAGCGCCCGCGGCAGCCCGGCCACTTCCAGCCACTCCCACCCGCACGCCAATCACGCCAACCACGCCAACCACACCAATCACACCAACCACACCAACGCAAACCACAGCCCAGCTGTTGTTGCTAAAATGGATCCACGCATCAGCTGCCAGTTCTGTGAGCAGGATCCGCCGCGTGAGGCTGTCAAGACGTGCGTCACGTGTGAGGTGTCATACTGCGACCGCTGCCTCCGCGCAACGCACCCTAACAAGAAGCCGTTCACCAGCCACCGCCTGGTGGAGCCGGTGCCAGACACCCACATCCGCGGCCTGACCTGCCTGGAGCACGAGAATGAGAAGGTCAACATGTACTGCTTGGTGGATGACCAGCTCATTTGTGCCCTCTGCAAGCTGGTGGGGCGCCACCGAGAGCACCAGGTGTCCTCACTCACTGAACGCTTTGATAAGCTGAAGGTTAGTCCTCTTTGTCCTTTTCCGTTTACAAAGCATGCGATAATGTCATATCAGCAACAATTTCTTTGTACTGCTCTTATATAATGTTGTTTGACTTGTGTGTCACAGAACCGAGGTAAGTCACCATCTGGAACAAGATTTGATTGAAAAAGACTTATGATTTACTGTTGAGCTTGGGAGCTTATTCCCATTCTCACAAAGAGTTTGTCATTTATAGCCTGCAACATTGAATATGATATCTTTGTTTGCAGTTTACCAAACAGCAAAATCTTTAATCCATCCATTCCTACCTTGGGGATGTTCACTCTGTGCATTTCTGTTTACTATGAACTTTCAGCACTGCCACAATTGCATCATATCCACTCACACCAGTCTTTGTTTAGCAAGAAGGACAGAAAGACAAATGGGGGAACAGAAAGAGCGAGAAGGGCAGAGAGAGACGGAGAGCAATAGGAACGCCGTCATTATAATAGTCGATGAGCTGGCATTCCCTGTGGCCACTGAGCTTTCAGAGGCTCTGCGTAAAGTCCAGGACTGCTGAATCAGGGTGAAAAACAAAAGAGAGAGGCACTAACTGGAGCTAATTCCACCACTAAAGACCTAAAGCAGCCAGTCTCATCAGCTGGCCTAAAAACTTTTAGCACAAGTGTGTCTGTTTACATACCTCTGTGTGCACCCTTTATCCAAAATAAAACATTATCACAGAAGCTTGCAGTGTAACTGATTTTACACCAGCACAACTAAAATTAATTGATTATTTAAGTCCCTGTCCCCAGGGTGCAAGGGTGTTGCCATGGTTTGATTGTCATGGTGTCAAATGAATGGCATTAAGTAGCACACAGAGATAAAATAAATACTTGAGAAAGCACTACATTGGCGGTTTTAGGGCCTCATCTGTAGAAAAGTGTGTTTGTAGGCTGATTCAATTTTAATGGTCTTACATTTAGGCTTTATTTTGTCACTCTACAGTACAAAATTGTGGGTGTGAGAATGGGCTGGCAACGTTTCCGGAGACGTTGTTAACATTCCATGTACAACAAAAATCCATCACATGGTGTGATTCAGTAAAAATGCAATCCCACGTTCTGTATTATTTATGATTTTTGCTACCAAAACCTTCTGGCTCTCACTTTCAGTTTTGCATCAACATGTCAGCAAAATTCCACCTGCTCAGCACCTCACATCGACTTAACCCACCGGAGCGCAGAGTTTATTTTCACTAGCATTTACACCTCCCCTTTTCTGCCAATGCCTTCTCTACAGACTGTGGGAGAGTTTACTGTAAGTAGCTAGCTAGCTCTCCCCCTCCTTTTCCTCTCCTCTCCTAGCTGTGGTTCTTTTGAACGTTCCCCAGCCAATGCTTTGAACTTGCTTGACTTTGAAATCCCCAATCAACCCCAAATCTGGGAGGAGACCAGCTCCAGTTCAAGCTCCGGCTCAGCTCACCAGCGGCAGTGGCAGCTAACTTATAATCTTCTTCTCACTCGTGGCAAGGCGAAGGAGAGGAAGTCCTACTTGTGCATAGCTAATCATGGAAGATGTAGGTCAGAAAGGGCTGTGTGTCTTCCACTGCATTCTCCCTTTTCTCTGTGTCTTTGTAAGACTTGTATTTAGTGAATCACGCTCTTAATTGTTTTTTCAGTCATATGTGACTATATGTTGTTATTGAAGAGTGTTCTGCAATGCCCCGTTCAGCTCTTCTAATTGGCCACACGTCAGTCATGCTTAATAATTGCGCTCAGTTGCCTCTGTTTGACCCCGCCTCACTCCATTTGATCTCTGACCTCTGGATTACCCTTCACATTACTTCCTCTGTCTGCTGTGTACGCTGGGAGCTGCTCTGCCACTAAATGATTGCTCACACATTAAGGGGAAGGTAAGCTTCCCTTGGGCAAGGAGGTCGGATATTTCAGGGAAGAAAATGCCAACAAGTTTCAGCGCTGAAGAAGAATGTGCCGCTGCTGAAACTGCAGGGAAGTGAGTCAATTCCCCAGGCAGCTGATGAGCAGAGCTCTTTGCTCAGAGGCAAAGACATTTGTGCCTTATAATTGGCAAACCTTGGTAACAGTCTTTTTTTTGATCATTTTAAAAGACTGCAGCTTAAAAGGTACTACACTCTAGATTTGTATTTGTTTTCACACCATCAGAGCCACTGAAACCACTTCCAGCTAACATACAACGTTCTGTTATAGCGGTGAATGTCTCATCCCTGCTGCTTTGGAAGAGTCTGTGGTTCATTAGTGTAATTTTGTGGCAGCCTAACAACCCCGATCAGAGGCCGGGTAGACAACAGTAAGGAGCTGAAGTGTGTGTTGTGTGCTCTCAGCAAAGGATTTTGGTCTTTTGTCTGTAATGTGAACAGTGTAACCCCAAAAGTGAAATTGCAACATTGTAGGTCTACCACAAGGTTCATGACTGGTCATAAATTAAAAGTTCTACATTCAGGTTAATTTGCATTTATTAATGCGAAGATGCAAAGCAGAGGTTTTGCAGAAGTACTGAATATGTGATTTTTTTTAAGTGAACAGTCTCACTTGGATACATAAGTATAGGTACGTGAGAATAGTGTAGTTGCCATCTTAAAGTATGAACACTGTTGCAAGGGGAAGAAGTCCAATTTCCAATCCTGGAAGATTGTAACTGAGATTGTCATTTTTTCCCTTTCAGACGAATCCTTTTGTGTTTCCATTTATGTTGGGATCTGTTTGTTAAAGGGCTTTTGGAAAGTATGCTTAAGATCACTCTCTGTACTGAAGCTATATAGTTGGAACCAGCAGCATGTCAGCCTTGTTTAGCACTTAGACTTTTTGTTTTTTGGCTGGTAGCATTTGCCAGGCAATAAGCAGTGACACCAGAAAGTTGCTGTTCCCGGCCAAGAGATAGTCCCACACATAACCCTGTGGTTTGTTTTTTATACAGATTAAACAAATGAGGTATAAAGTGTGAAATTAGTGTGCTTTAGAGGTGCTGGTAGGCAGATATCGTTAGCTTTTGACAGAGCCAGACTAGATTTCTCCCATTTGCAGTGCTTAGCAAAGCTAACAGGCTGTTTTAGGCCTATATTTACCATGTGACATGATTGGGGTATTGATCTTAGTCGATCTTAGTCAAGCGAGCAAACGGATTTCAAAATGTTGAATTCTTCCTTTAAAATAAAAAATAAAAAAGAACGTCTGAAAAGAGCAGACGCTTGTGAAAAAGATATGCAGACCAGCAATAAAAGTTCTTGTCTGGTATCCCAGGCTTTCAGTGATGTTGGGCTTTACAAGTGTGCTGTCAGATTCAGCAAACGCTCCTAGCTTCAGATAACTGTAACAATGACCCGCGTAAACATGAGGAATGCCATCTGTGCGTTAAATATGAGCACATGTTCATGACAATTGCTGATTAGCATAAGTAACGGCCAATAATACCTCGCGAGTCCTGCCCCATATATCCTATATTGAAGTCCTGCTTTTGAAGATCCATAACTTTTAACAGCGTTAGCAGCTGAATTAAGGGACCTACTAAAGCCCAGGCAAGGGGGAATAAAACGAGTGCTGTCAATGCCGTGTCACCTGAGGGTCATACTGTCACTGAAATAAAGAAGAAATGGTTGGATATGAAAAACGTTTTGCCACAGCAAGGCGATCGATGACTGCATTGAAAGGGGGTCATTTTACATTTTGAAACGTTCATATTGATGTTTTTTGTGTTATACAATGGCATCAATAGCCACTTTATATTGATGGTGATATTGTTAGCCTGTATAAATACATTTAGGGTTATATTAGCCTATAATTGAAATTACAGCGTCAAACAGGATAATGTGATCATGATTATGAAGTGTAATTTATATAGGGTTTATAGTAATGAAATATAGAATCAACTAGTGAGAAACGTGGGCTTGGTTAACACCAGATTGATTTCACATGAGGTCTGGACCACTTGTAAATTGTGTTCATTCATAATACAAAATTTAAATTACGAGAAAATTGGTAAATGCTGCACATTCTCCAAAATCCGTGGTACCTAGCACTTAATAACAAATCTGTTCGTTCTAAAGGTTCTTGTATGACGGCCATTGTCTGTAAAGTAACCTTGTAGCTCTTGTGACGACAAGTTTGTGTGCTAGTTCACTCACTTGCTGGCCAGCACCAAAACATCACACAGTAGTCATTATTTGATCGAAGAAAGACACCCGAATGAAAAAAAATAAGTGGCAAGGGAGAAGCCGATAGACAGGGAGAGAGACAGTAAGATGGGAAAGAAACTGAACAAAAACATAATAATAAATGGAGAGCAATGATCAATAGCTCACATCACTAGTTTAAGAAGTCTTTGTCTTCTCTTCTCTATTACTGGCAGTTAATTTACTGACTCTAAAAGGCTCTTGAGGGTTTGAAGTGTGTGTGCATTGGCATCAAGTACTGAGCTGCCACGGTGGCAAAGCCTACAGCAGGGCTGCTGACATTTGTGACACTCACACAACACTTGAAAAAAGCAGCAGATAAACTTAAAGACTCTGGATCTTCAACTCTCGGTGGCATCCCATGTGCACTTACCCTTCAGCAATGGGATTTGTTGCGCGTGTGTGTGTGTGTGTGTGTGTGTGTGTGTGTGTGTGTGTGTGTGTGTGTGTGTGTGTGTGTCTCCAAGGTCTTGGCAGGTCTCACGCATACTCGTGCCAGATGATAGACTATGTATATGAGAAGAATGAAGAAATATGCAAAACATTTTCCAGTGATTATTGGATTAATTCCTGTTTTGGAAAGAGGCAAGCCATAGCACACTGACACCCCCCCCCTCTCCTCTCCTCTCCAACTTTTGCTCTCTAACTCTCCCCTCTCTTCAATTCCTTCTGTCCCTCCAGCCATGCTTCTTTCCCTTTATCTTCACCGTTTTCTTCCTTCACACCCCCCTCACCCCCCGTCTTCTACTTCCCCCCTTCTAAGCTCCTTGAGGCCCTGTCTAACTCTTTTTCTGTGCGATGTGTGCATCATGCCTTCTCCTGCTGCTGA